AATGACATGACATCGTAAGTATGATGAAGGACAAGAGGAATTGACGACTTAGTGCAAATTAGTCTTCATTAAATTCCCCAGATGGTTTTAATGAATCGCATAGACTCACTGTGGTGTTCAGAGCTCAAGGCCAACGAGTGTACCACTGAAAACACATCTGACGCCAGTTCGAGTAACACATCCAAACATCTCAGTGATGGAGATAAATCCACATGCTGTTGCGCGCAAGGCTCATCGCGATGTTTTGATGGGTCTGGACAGGCCGACTGGCGATGACTTCGCAAAGTACTTAAGAGCTGATTTCGTTCATCCATGGTGAATAGCGGATGCAATAGGGTTCTCAACAGCATTTGTCCCACTAGTGACTGAACAACTGATTCTTTTAGTGAAGAATCTTGAGAAGAGGATGAAAGCAGCGCGTCGTCTTGAAAGGCTAAAGTACTTGATAAATTGTCAGAATGACAAAGCAGTTCCGTGAATAACCGCAAGTAATGCTTCTTTAACCCTAGTATTCGATCCCGCTGTTGATCTGCCGAAGTTATTACGTTTTCAAGTGAATCAAGCTCTGAAGACCTTCTGGATTGGTTCCACAGAGTTATGGGCACCCCTTTGCTGGGAGACACTGGCGTCCGTGAAGCAATGAGGTGACCGAGTAATGACCACAGTTGATCGAGGAGTGCTGTTGGTGTCAGTGAAGACGACTGAAGCAAAGCTAGGTGATCTGAGGAGGACATAAGCAGATCAGTACAGTACAAGCTGTTGAACCAACTTGAGAGGAGCGTGAAAATGTGTCAAGTAGGTGTACTTAAATAATAATAATAATAATAATAATAATAATAGTAAAATCATTCAGCTGTAGCACCATTTCGGCGCCAAAGTACCATGTTACCATAAGGAAGCACGAGAGGTTGGATACTGCCAGGTTGTCCAAGCCCACACAGGGGAAGTCAATAGGCAGAGACCGGGTTCGAACCACGGGCCTTCCGGTCAGTAAATTTGCGCCCTAACCAATGAGCCATCTCGCACCGGTTAAAGGAAACTTGAATGCTCACGTAAGGAATGTAACGGAGGTGACCGAGCTGAGGGGCATATAATCCATCAAGCCGATAGCATGCTGCTGCGCACAGTCTAAGGTCTTCCTTGGAGTGACGAACACTCCTCAAAGGCAGGTACACCAACACGCATTGCTCCTACACCTGTCCTAGTTCATGTCGGCTAATTCTACTACTGCCACTACTGAAAGGGAAGAAGGTCTTCGCTGCGGGGTTATTTATTAGGAAATGCCAACTGACTGGTTACAGACCACTGAACAGGGAAGCAAAACTCTGATTTGCATCTTATTTACAAAAACTGGATACCCATCTGCTCCCGAACGCGTCTTCTTGAATTTTCCTGGAGATTTATTGATTCCACTCATTCGTCGGTCAAATCCGAGCAAATGTTACAAAGTGGCTCCACGAATTCCGCAACAGATCTTCCCTTTTCAAAAGACGCAAAGCGAAATTCTACAAACAACACACTACTCGCGTGCCTCCCCATCAGTAGTATCACCGTTACACTACTACTAACCCCGGGCGAATGAATGCAAACAGCAGCTGTCTTCAGTGAGGTGTCCCTTTCTTGTACAAGACCAAATAACCGTTGTTCTCGATTATTAGAAAACCAACGCTCAACACCGCCGCACCACAAGGAAGTGGAGTTAACTAGTAGTGACCCTAATGACAAATACAGTGATTGGGAGGAAACTCGCCCATGTCGGCACGCGGGTCTGAATGACGTCTACGCGAAACTGAGTGACAGTAAGAGAGTATCATGATCTGCGGAAACCGAATAAAGGGGTCTAAAGCGGTTCCTTCTGAGATGAGAGGGGAGAAGCATGTCTCGGAGGACTCTATGCCGCGACGAAAATATCCAATCATCATATGGAGCTCCTCATCTAAACTCCATTCAAAACAATATCACCAATATTTGCTAGTACGATGGTTCGGTATGGGTTACCGTTAGAGCCTGACGCTATATGCAGTAGAAACTGAAAATTTGCATTTAAAAGATCTATGTGTAATAAATAAATAATGAATCAAAACATTAGATAATGAATATGAAAAGGAGAAACCGGATATGAAATTTGCGCTTTTGTCACCGAAGTATTCTTACGTCGTGTTACTTCGAATGTACACATACTCACTCATGGTTGATTCACCCAAGAGCGATTATCTACAAGAACGACCTTGGGCTGCTCCACATACTGGAACGAGGCTTGGTTACGTGTACAAACAAGTGAAATTTCACTGAAAGAACGCTCAGCTTCCACACACAGGAGCACAAAAGCATCGCTGTGACAAGCCAACACATATGCAAACCAAATAGGATGAATCACCCGGCAACATCCTCAAAGCAGGGTTGTTGAAGATCTTCTGGTGTACGTCCCGTCGACCACGAAATTGAAAATGAAAGGAGAAATTCGGGGTCCTTGTCGGGCATTACTTGTACGCAAGATTTCGGAGAGATTCCTGTACACTGGTGTACGCCAGGAATTCCGTGAATACAGAGAACCGTTCCCCGAGCTAGGCAAGCGGCTTCCAGACATTTCACCACCATTCGAGAAGACATCTTTATTGCGCGGTTGGCTGGGTAGTCCCTCTCTTCGTGCTTCAGATTCGGTGATCCCTGATGAGAGCTGGAAATTCCGTCCAGATTAACTTGACGTTTTAACCTGAATGCATTTTTGCTTTAGTTCTATTGGTTTCTTCCTTCATTCCCTGTTCGGCTCATGGTTTTACGGTTCTGGTCCTCAGGGATTGACAGATAGTGTCGTTCTCAATGCATCTGTTCATTGCTCCATCAGTGAAGTACGACGCCTCTATGATTTCCCATTCTCTCATTGCTTCGGCTTGTTCTGGGCAAACATCGGCGAGCAGATAAACAGCCACCTGATCAATTATCAATGAATGCACCCGAGCTGCTAACATTCCAACACATTACCATACAAAGAACTTATTAGATCCGCAAACTTCTCGGATATTACCTGCTCAGGAGGCATGTTGAGAAGGATAGATCGGACATTAGAGTCACATGCGCCTTGGGAATTCAGGATTACCAAACCCAAGCGTCGCTTATATGTAGATCGTTGTACTAACTCCTGATAGAGTATGAACATGTCGTCAAAACAATCCCTGCCCAGTCGAAATCCCGCTATAAAAACAATGAGGACTTACTGAATTCGACACGATTTTGGTACACAACGGCCGGATGTGCCTAAACACCATCATAACCATCATTTGAATTTAACATATATTCTAAGCACCGTGTATCGTAGAAGTCAGACTTGGTTAAAAAATGAAAATTAATACACATGGCTGTGGATTAGAAAACAACAAATACTCACGACTTACCGAATTCGGTACTATCACCAACAACTTCTTGTGGAATGCCGTTGGACGGAGATGAAGAATTCGTTTGAAACAGCTGAATCGCAGCTTGACGAAAGCCAGGATCACATTGTGAAAGAAGTACGGCGGCAACAATAAACCTCCTTTGGGCACCGAAGCAAGATAGCCACGAGCAAAAGTTGGCAACCTTTCGAAGGAAGTAAAAGTATAAATATTACGAAAAGGGACCTACATTATGGCTGAAAGTCTGATGGTCTTCGTTGGAATGTGAGTCGGAATCAGAATTCCCAAAGTATATCTCCAAATGCGGGCGAGATTCGTTGAGGGAGTCGAGACAAATTGTCGGAATAGACATTCCATTGTCTTTGGGTGAAGCTGATGAGGCCTCGGAAGACATAAGTCATGTAGCGAAGTTGCACTGAAGGGAAGGCATTTATACTCGATTAATAGTGGTCAGTAAGCAATGGCACATTTAAGGATCACTGCGTATACCACTCGACTAGAACGAGGAAAAGATGTCGTGAAAGATCACACACAGCATGTTTTGTGATACTTAAGCGCATGCGTACGATAGTCCGTCTTCCAACCCCCTTATGTGTAATGTGTATTCGAAAGTTAACCATCCTAATTAAGATGAAGGAGCCTACCAACCACATGGGCCTTCCATTTGAGAATCCATCACTTGGGCAGCCCGTCAACACATGATGTGAATTGAGTGATTGAGATTTGGTAGTACTGTACCCTATCCAAGCCCAATTCAGTCACACTGCTAATCAATCACTTGTAACTGATTGGTATGGTGCTCAATCACTAACCGAAAGGTCGCGTTTTCAGATCTCCAGAAAGAGTAGTGAGATCCTCATCCCTGAGTACCAACAAAAATGAAACAGCTTTTAGCACAGATAAACTCCAGTTGTAAGATGACATCTTCAGTGAAAAATCACCCGCAACTCTTAACGAAAAAAGCAGCGCTTGGGTTTTGTCAGTCCGTTGAATAATGTGTAAAAAGTAATCCATAGCGAAACAACATCAGCGTTTCACCTAGCAAGTGGTCAAAGTTTTCCTGTGCGGAAAACATCAGTATCCATAATCTTGTCCAACACTTTCATTTGACGAAGCTGAGATTCCATCTTCCGTCATCGGCTATCATGCATAAAGACAATCAGCAAAGGGTGAGTTATCCAATTCGCCACCCATCCGACTACTGATCCATACCGAAGAGTCTAAAACCCACATTTTTTGAGTAATCTTGTTCCTCAATTCATCAAGTTCTATTCCGGTCTTCTAAGCATCAACAACGCTCCTAAAAGGATATCCCGGATAGTCAACCCAATAGTCCCTGCATCATTAGGAAGCGCACTTAAAGTGATCCTGAAAAATGCTAAAACGTTTTGTATCTAGCCGGTTGTGAGGTGGCACAGGGGGAGGGAGAGGAAGCACATATAAAAACCAATCAGTCTTCTTAGACGGGCGTGCGCTGACGCAATGTGTTACCCATTTCCTGCCCATTTCAATTTGCAGCACTTCTGAAGATGAAGATTGGGAGTTAGTTTATGTCCACCTATAACGCTGGATAATAATCCATTTTCCAAAAGCCTCCTGCCACTAATGTACAAATACTGTTCACGAAACTGCACTCGGGTGCAATAGACAGCAGTTACGACCGTAAGAGGTGCACTTGAGAAGGCGGGGACAGAGAATCGCTTGTTCGGTGGATGTCAATTGAAAGTAGTGTATCTCTGAATCTCAAGAGATGTGTATCAAGCTATAGGGCAGACTGTTTTGTTGTATGGTTGTGAGACTTTGCCTGTTCGAGCAGCGGAGCTAAGACTTCTCCCGGTGTTCGACAATCGTTGTCTCAGAACCGCTTCTCGTGTGTGTCAGTGCCGGCGTATCCGTAACAAGGCAATTAGAAGGCGGCTGTTCGGTTGTTCAACGGGTACTTCCATTGAAGAATGTGTCCAGCGCCAGAAGGTGCGTTGTTTGGGACGTGTGTGTTGTGTTGCGTATGCCGAACCATCGTTTTCCGAAGAGAATGCTGCTTTCCATGTCCAGCTCAGGGTGGCGTAAGCACAGAGATGGCCAACCCTTGACCTGGCATAGGGATACGAGATTACAGAACGCTTGGGTACTGTCGGTGCTAATCGCCTTCCAGGATGTGAACCGCGTGATCTCCACTGCGCCTGGCTGGAAACACTACAAGATATGGGTGCCAACCGATGTCAGTGGCGTTCTTGTTGCCAGTTTCCATCCAGATAGCCTGAACGAGTGGCTAGAGGTGTAGGCACCTCAGAATGATTGTGAGAGGCTAGCACTGAGTCCCTTCCATGTGCATTCTCATTGACGATAAGGCTTTCCAATAAATCATGGTCGTACGGCGACGAAGTACCAATGGCGAACACTGATGTCACGCTATCAATCATGATGATAACGATGATGGTGAATGTGCGCTCATTAAGCTCTGAAGTCAATAGTTCCTTCGTTTTTTCGCCTATAGGTCTATGCTCCCATTGTGGAACAAGATAACCAAACGTATGGGGCAAGATCCATTCATTCTTCCCTCGTTTGGCCCCTTTGTACTCTGTTGTCTTTCAGATCCTTCGCGACGACTGGGTCCCCCCGACACAGATAGTCTATTTGGCTGTCCCAAATAGTTAACCACCCACCTAATTACCAAAAATGAATTGTGGCTTCGCTGAAAGTCCATACATCCCAAATGTTTGTGCAGAGGGAACTAATGTATATCAAAACCTACTGTTTCTGCTTGCTGAGTCGTGCTTCCCACCTCATTGCGGATACTTAGACAGTGCGCTTCATTGTCATCCGGAAGCATTTTAACGCCACCCACGCCTTAAACGGCGTAGCTGAGTTCCTACCGCGGCTGTTCAACTCTCCACATTGGCTCCACCGGCAAAGATTTTGGTATTTTCAAGTTTCCTGGAGAAACTGTAAGTTTCTGGTTCTCGTTGCGTCTCTCCACTTTCATGTCTACTTGTTTCTGTCACTTTGGCGACAGACTGCCATATTCAACCAGCGTTATGACAGGGAGGCTGTGTCTATCGTGACAAAACGTAGAATGACTTGTGTTCACTTGCATGTCCAGTTTCATGTCTTCAACCACTATAGTGCCAGTCGGAAACTTAGCAATGGTTTGGTTCAGTTGTGTTCAGAGAGGCGTCCCGTCACCGCATTTCCACTTTACCCAATGAGTGGGTTACACGGTCCGCTATGCCATTTCTTAGTCCCCACGTATATACTGCCTCCTGAGCCTATGAATAAAACGAATGTCTCATAAATAAACCCGTCTCCGAAATGCGATAGCATGGTGTTACTAACGCGCGGGAATTCAACAGTCCCACTCGGCATTTGTTCGCCTTGTGCTGTGCGCCGAGTTGCAGTAGTGCTCGCAACTAAACGGCGGTTTACATGTAAACTGGGAGTTCCGCAGATATGCATGGGTGGTTCTTGAGGATGTATATCGAGCTGTATTCTACTAGCCGAACCAGAGTTTACACGATGTGTCCTATTCATCAACTAAAAGATTAGTCATTTCCTCCAGTTATATAAAAAGCAATTGCCCTGGGAGTTTAAAACTCCTGTGTGCAATTCTCAAAATTATATTCTTTGAGCATGCAAAAGTCAAAAGCACTGTTTCGTTGCGCTTAATCTGTCGGGTAGGTACAAGCTGGCTTACACATACATCAAATTGGTGTACTTAGTCGGACACTCGGGCCAAGACCTCAAGCCTAGAATCCCCAGCCGGTGAACGAACTTGAGCGGCTCCTCAATCCCGCGAAAAAGGAAGCTGAGGGCAACATCGCCAATGGGAGTGCGGGGCTCTGATTGGCTGTTCCTCTAGCCGATGGGTTTATTAGGTGAATAGAGAATTAGCAAAAAGGTAGACGCGCTTTCCTTGGGGAAGTTCAACGGCGAAAAGTCCCGATCCATAGACACGCAGTCAACATTTCCCCGAAACCGTAGCTCAAGTCAGGGAAAATTTTACGCAAAATTCTAGCATTTCGGGCAGTTCGCTCCCAACCCAAAAAATTCCCCTTGGAAAATGGCCAATGCTGCAGTGTTCGTTTCACGGATTGATACACAGGATTGAGGCTATTGCCCAAGTTTCCCAAGTCACTTTTGTTCTTGTCGGTCAGTGGCTGTCGTTCACCTGAAAGACACAAGTGAAAAAAGGGTGTAGCACTGCTCTTTATGTTCACAGCGCGGGGCAGTATGCTTGCCAGCGCGAAGATTCACACAAATAAGTGTCTG